CATGGCATGACCAAAGTGCCACAGCTTCCTTCATCTAGAGGGTGACTCCCTGGGTCCTCTCAAGTATCAAAACCACATTTAGTCTGTGTGATTCAAGGGGGTTCCACATCAAAACTCAACCTAAATTGCATACATTTCTCAGACCTTCAATTCCTAACTCACCCTAGAAAAACAACATCATCCAATCGCTAAGCCCATGGTCTAGAGGCACAACAGAATGCAGAGTTCAGCCTCTGATGCCCACCTACCAAGTGATCCCCAGGAAATAGTGTACTTTACTAGCTGCTGCCTTAATTGGGGAATCTCTGAAACGTGGAAACCATTCATTGAAACTGCCAAGTGACAGGTGTGTTGATGCTTAGTGAAGGTGTCTAAGTGAATGACACCCATGCAGTTGGGCATCTGGGGCTCTGTAATTCCTCACTGATGTCTGCTCACTTCCACCCAGGAGCCAGGAGTTAGTGAAGTCCTGCCAACCCACAGAAAGCCTTCACTCCAACAGAGGGGCTCTGCTCCAGCCACAAACGGCGTGATCGCCCACGTTTTCATGGTGTACTCTGCCTCACAAGGTCTATGATCTCTTTCTCCACAGCCAGCTTTTTCATTTGGACCCAAGCCCCCAAAAGCCAAGTCCAGGCTATATGCCTTTCCACACCCAAACACCCAGCTCAGTGCCTGATATGGTCTGGCTGTGTCCCCACCCAAATCTCATCTTGAATTGTAGCTCCCATAACTCCTATGTGTTGTGGGAGGGACCCAGTGGGAGATAATGGAATCATCAGGGCAGTTTTTCCCATACTGTTATCGTGGTAGTGAATAAGTCTCACAGGATCTGATGATTTTATAAGGGTTTCCCCTTTCTCTTGGCTTTCACTGTCTTGTCTGCCGCCATGTAAAATGTGCCTTTTGTCTTCTGCCATGATTGTGAGGCCTCCCCAGCCACGTGGAACTGTGAGTCCATTAAACCTCTTTTTCTTTATAAATTACCCAGTCTTGGGTATATTTTTATCAGCACTGTGAAAACAGACTAATACAGTCCCCTTCTTGAAAGAATCACTCAATACATTTTTGATTGACCATAGTTGAAATTTAAAATAAAATGATAGAGAAATGTGGTAAGGAGATAAATTGAATATAGCTGGGGGATATTGCTGTTTGGCTTTCATTCATTTTGTTTGAGTAAGAATCTGCCAGCACACAGTGCTCATGCCATGACAAGGCATGATTCTCGCTTTCCAAGAGGCGCTCTGCAGTCCAAGGGAAGAAAGAAGACAGAGAGTTAGTGAACACTGGAAAACAGGGTCTAAGCCAAAATGAATAGGGCAGACATTAAGTGCCACAGAGGAATGAGAGGAACACAGAATTCAAAGGGTCCTGAATAGTCCTGGGAAGCTTGATGTACAAAGTCAAGGAGCGGAGTCCTGAGCCAGCATACCGGCCTGCCACTGGATGCCTGTGTGATTTCAGGTAAGTTCCCCCTCACTGGGTCTTAACGGGGAATAATTAAGTCTATTTCAGAGAGTTGTGAGGATTAAATGTTACTGTTTACATAAAATGTTCACACAGTAACAGACCAATGATAGTACTTTGCATCCTATTAACGTGATTATTACCAGTGCTTCATAGTCTGGCTTCAAAGCTTCCTAGCTGTGCCACCCTCATCAAAGAATGTAAACTCTCCACATCTCAGTTTCCTCCTCTGTAAAAGAGGGATAATAATATCTCCTACACCATAGGGCTGTTATTGAAGTGTTAATGTTATGAGGCTGAATGATAGGTTAGATATTATTAAAACACTCAGATACTCCCTAACACATAATAAGTACTCAATAAACATTGGCTAATAGTACTATTATTGCAGATTCTGTTTTACCTCACCCTTTTAAGAAACATGCCTACAGAATGTCAGCAGGAGGGCAGAAAGAGTGGGAGATTGTAAACTGTAATTCTTTTCAGGCTGTCAATGCTATGCTAATTGAAAGGTTTCCCAATACCTCCACAAGGATTGTTAGAGCTACTTGGATAAGACAAAACATTTTTTTTAAAGTTTCCTCACATTAGAATCTTCTGCTGAGCATTTATTCTTTAGGGACTGCAAAAGATCCTCAAAAAATGATGTTGGTGAGAACAAAGCAGAATAAAATGAAATTGGAGCAAAAAGTCCTCTGCTGGTTATGAAGAAAACTACAAGTATCACCACCATCACCCAATCACCCATAGGAAGATGGATATGGTGGCCCTCCAGGCCACAGCACAGGTGCTCTGGTCTCCCCTAGCTGTGGTTCCTTACCGCTTGGTCATATGATTAGCCAAAAAAGAAAAAAACTAACGGAAGAAGAAAGAAAGAAAGAAAGATGGAAAGAAGGAAGGAAGGGTCCTCTGTCCCCCTATACACACACAATATAAAGCAAAAAGAAAATAGCTCAGAACTCTGAACTACTAGATTGTTGCAACCTACAGTCAGGTTATGTGAAAATGTAGCAATTTTTATGCAAACAAAATACATTCTGAAATTCCTACTTGCCTCTCTGTACACAGAACAAGAAAATGCAGGGCCTGTGTTTGAGAGTTCAGGGACTTCCACTCCACCAAAGTCCATCCCAGCAGGGCAGCCCTTCCTTGTTCTAGTGCATCAGAGTCTGAGAAGAAGGGCAATCCTGAGAGGCCTGAGCATCCTCCAAACGGTTGTTACACCTGGTGCCTGATTCACATCCTAGGTCAGGCCCACGGTCAAGGGCTGGTGTGGCTCAGACCCTAGCTCATCTAATCCCTGCCCTGTAGTGCTCCATCCACTGTGAGGGCCTTTCTCTTGCGCATGAGGAAGACATTCAGCCCCTGAGGCTGGCACAGAATGACAGGAGATGTTCCAGAAGGAACTTGGCTGGGTTGGGGCCAATGCAAGGGTCTAGAAAGGAAGCTCCACCATGTTCCCATCTCCATCCATACCCAAACAATACCACTGTGTGGAGAGCACATGTGAAAATGCAAACAAACATTAGTGCTGAAAGAGACAGAGAAAGGGACTGGCAGAATGAGAAAAAAGAACCATGAAAGGGAAGACAAAGAAAGATAAGTCAGCCAGCACATGATAATGCGATTTCAAAAAGAAGCTACTCCTAACCCAGGCCTGTCCCGTGATTCAGCCTCTGCTGAATACGGCCACCCTCTGGACAGTCCTGATTTTCAGAAGCCTTGAAGACTACCTCTGGAAACCAGATCCTGGCCTCAGACAGAGGGTCTCTGTCTGCCACGACCCACTTCCTGTTTATTTATCTTCAAATCTCTACAGAGCTACCTCACACCTTTTCCTTGAAAAAAAAAAAAAAATCCCATTTGTATCTAAAATGTTCCCCATATGAGAATGTCTCTGTCCCTGGGAGATCTTCCTTGCAGTCAAGGACTAGGGACAAAGGGGGCATCCAGAGAACATTAAATTTCCTTGATTATTACTGCTTTAGACATTCATTTTTGGCTTTTTATTTAAGTAGTCTGAAATCACTGCATATTTGTAATTCCCTTGAAATCCACTTTTAAAGCAGATACACAATCATTTCAGAGTGGGGGAAGCTAGTTGCTTTATTTTTTCCCAGAAGAGTGGAAGAGGTGGGTCTCATAAGCCAACACATAACTAGGAGTTCACCAGAGCTATGAGGATAAGCTCTCCCTAGACAAAGGATCACAGGATGCTTGTAGCCCTCCATAGGTCCCTAAATTACACACTTCCTTTGACAATGTCCTGATAATTCAGCTCTGTATTGACATTGCCTCCTCTTCACCATTTTCTATCCTATAGATACTGCCTTAAGTATACAGTCCACAAACAACCCAATCCTAGAAGAAGTCATCAGAGGGGCAAAACAGTAGGCAATGGCACCAGGGTTATCTTTTCTAGAAATCTTCATGTGCAAAGGACAAGAATATTGCCATGTTGCCTTGTGGTTAGTTCTGTTGCTTAGTTTGGAAAACTTTATTTAAGAGGGCAGACGAAACCAAGGAGAGGCAGGGAAATCGTTCCCATGAACCTTCTTAACTTCTACCTCATGCTTATTTTTTTATAAAATTCCAGAAAATAAAATTTCCCATTGCAATCATTAAGTGTGTTGCCCTCATATGAGAGGTGTGGTTTATCAACACTGGAAATTGAGTTACCATTTCTGCAGGCAAGGTAATCAGGGAGATAGAATCATTCTACCTTACACAAAGCATAACCGAGATTCTTCTTCTTCTCCTCCTCCCCCAGTGCCTGTAAGCCTTAACCCCGGAAGCCAATCAGGACCCAACCCAACACTGAAACCTAGTTTCTCTTCAGTAGATGAGTTCTGCACGTACTGTTTTGGTGGACAGCAGGAACAGAACACAGTTCACTACAGTAAATGCCATTTTCCACGGACAAATCAGACTCCATGACTCGGGCCTCAGAAAGCCACGTTCAGACAGGAGAAAGCACCTCTGTCTGCTCACCAGCTCACAGCATGAAGGCACCCCAGGAAAGCCTGGGCACAGTCAGACCCAGGACAAAACAGCGGCTCTCCCAGAGTGCAGGAGCCAGGGCTGGCAAAGCCCCATGGCACGGGCGAGTGGGGGCATTCACTCCAAGCCAGACCCCTCCTTTGGGACTCATTAACTTCAGAGAAGACTGCTCACGGGGAGCCCCTCCAAGCCCCTGTCACCACAGCCACCAGGCTCAGGCACAGACAGTGCCAGGGACAAGTCCCTCAGTCTCAGCGACCACCTGGTCCAGCCACCCCTCACCCTTAACAAGTGCCTGAGCCGCAGAGGCCAGTTTTTGGGAAAAAGCTCACCGCCAGAACCTCTGAGCCTTTCCCCATGAATGCCACATTCCCGGGCAGAGCTCCCAGGGCAGCCATAAATTGTGCAGCCCAGGGAACCAGCGACCTCTCCGCCAACCCAGGCACGACTCCGTGCACACACCTGCACCCCTGCCCCTTTCCCCCACCCCATACAAATCATCAATTCGTAGAATAATGTCAGCTCCCTACCTGAGGGTGGCGCTCTCCCCCTGCCGGACCGTCACGTTGTCCATAGCTTTGGGGAAGGTGGCATCTCCGCTGCGCACGGGCACTCCTGTGGGTACAAGGAACAGCAGCCTGAGAGACACGACCACGAGGCACTTCCAGGGCAGGAACAGGTACCCACAGACCCCCATCCTCGTCAGCCACAACTTCCCAGAACTCCGGCAGCCGCACGGCACACGCCCCCCGGGCGAGCACAGGAAGTGGGTGGGGTGCGGAGCGAGCGCGGGGACAGAGCGGTGAACTAGCGGCGACCGGGAGGCGCGGGGAGGAGAAAAGCGCGCAGACTCCTCCAAGTCTAATAGTCCTCCCCCAAATGCAGCCTCGGCTTGCCAGCCTCGGAAAACCAGTTCCACGGCGGACGGCCAAAGGGGGCTCCCTCCTTGCGGCTTCGGCCCGGAAGGTGGCCGAGGAGGGGGAAGCGCGAGGCAGGTGAAAGGTGTGGGCGCGTCTCAGGAGCCGCTTCTTCCCAGTGGCAGTTCAGACATGGCACTTTGGAGAGGAGTAAGCACTTTGGTACCGGAAGGGGACGGGGTGGGCTTCATCCAGCCACCCAGAGGCGGTCGCAGTCCCTCAGTTCCAACAGGGGGAATCCGACACTTTGTAAGTTTCGGAGCCGGGCTCGCCACCGGAAAACAATCAGAAACAATAGCAGATGGGAAGTGGAGCTCGCAGGAGGCGCAGGGGTGGCGCGCGGAGGAGACGGCCGCGCGGGCTTCGTTGAATCCGGACCCGGGATCCTGCGGCAGCCGCCTCGGTCAACTTCCTCGGAGCCCAAATGCGCGCTGCAGCCGCGGCTCTCCGGCCGGGCTCGGCGGGGCAGGGGCTGCGGCGGTGGCAGAGGAAGGAGCAGCCGGGCGGCGGGAGCGGACCGCGGCGGCCCTTAGCTCGCTAGCTCGCTGGGGAAGGCACGGCGCAGCCGGCACCGGAGCCGCGCGGACGCCAAGCTCAGCGGCCGCCCCCGGCCTCCGCGCCGCCTTCCTCCCGGGAGCTGCCCCGACGCGCGCGGGCCCAGACCGCCGGGGTTGTCATGGCAGCAGCTCCATCCCTGACCGCCACTTTCTCCCGGTGCCGCCTCGGAGCGAGCGGGCGGGCTGGCGGCGCGGATTGCGCTCTCATCCCGGCGGGCGGGCGCGGGGCGCAGGGCGCGGGCGCCCACCTTAACCCCCGCCGCGCCGGGCCCGGGCTGTGCACCAGCCCAGCCCAGGCCAGGCATTTAACCATTTACGCGCTTCCAAATTAGGAAAAAAAGCAAAGTTACCGTGCAACCTTAATCAGCCCCAGACTTGAGACATCTTAAAAAGGGTCACAAACTAATTAACTGGGAAAGGAACACCCTGCAGCATGCATACATGCACCTTTAAAATGATCAGATTAATTCCGTTGGCATTCAGAGTAAATTCAGAGTGTTGGGAGGATGTTTTAGAAGAACCTCATAGTTATTCAGTAGTACAGCACCCACCCAGCAGCCCCCAAAAAGCTGCTCAAAACCCCAGAGACTCAACACTACCATTCTAGAGATCTGTCGTATATAAAAACAAATCCAAAATCACAGAAGCCTCTTAGTGTGCGAAACTGGAAAAATCGCATCATCAAAATGTTGGTCAAGTTCAGACACCCACTTACATTCTTTATTCTTGTTTTGTCGCCATTAAAAGATGCTGGGCCTGCAAAAGTGCTCACTTGGGTGGATGAGTGTGAGCCACTTGCTGTATTTATACAGCAGACTCCCAGTTTTCCTGGGCCTCACACTCTGGCACAGCTGATTTCATCTTTAAGAGGTGTGTTTCTCAAATTCTTGAAACCCAGGGAGAGATTGGATTTGCCTCGGTCCCTGTCAGTTCTCCTCTCTGGCTGCTGCTGGTCCTCCTGTGCCTGTATTATTATTTCTCCCTTAACTTCGGCTCTGAGGGAATGGCCTGCGTTTCCTTTCCCTGGCTAGGCCTTGTCCTTGTGCAAGGGGGAAGCACAGAGCAGCCCAGCAGGCACAGTGGTGGTGACATTAATAATGCTCCCTTCTCAGGGATTCCCAGAGCCCGGCTCCAGCCCTGACCCACATTCTCCTTGGGGATAGAGAGGAGGCAACAGTGACTTTGTTTTTCCCCTGGACTTTCTATCAAACACAACCAGGAAGCTTTTTGTTGTTGTTGTTGTTGTTAACAACTGTTAAATAACAGAAAAAATGTTCTTCCAAAAAGCTATCCAGCATGAAAGAGACTGAACCATTATAACTGAGTCATATAACCATAAAGGCTCATTCTGGCAACCTTGGAGCAGTACCAAACACTTACATGTAGATAACACGTTGGAGAGGACACAAACATTTCACCAATCAAATCTCCCTCACACTAACTATTTTATGGAGATAGGACAGAAGTAGGCTTTGGGGAAATGGAAACCACACTCTTGGGTAACAAAGAAAGACTAAGAAGGCTTGGCTTTCCATTGTCATCGTTGACTAGAACGTGCTCAGCCAGCAAGAGTAAAGCGACTTTACAGTGAATATCTCAAAATACTTTGCATTAACTCATCATTGGGCCAATTGTTCCCTCCTCTGGTGACTTTTCTGATATTAAATTCTCTGGGAAACTCATCTGCTACTTTTGGCCACTGGGGATCATTTGATGTATAACACCAAAACTATCAGTTGTCAACTTATGGCTGCAATAAATGACTTTACCATCAGGAATAAACAATTACATCTGTGGGGAGCAGAAGAGCTTTGTTTGTATTTTTGAAAGGAAAGGAGGAAAATTAACCTATTTTAGCACTAGTTCATTCTTGGAAGACTCTATTGTATCTCCATTTTCCAGTGGGCAATTGTGGAAATAGGAAATTGAATAACTTCACCACGTTAAGATAAATATGATGATACACTAAAGCTGTGAGATGATGTTTGCCGACTTTCAGTCTGCTGAATTTGGGCTACTTCTTCACAAGCCAAGGGGTCACCTCTAATAATTTATCCATTCATTTCAACCATCGCTCATACTCCCCCCTCTCAACCCCTCTTCTTAAACACATCCTCACCACAACAAGTGGAAACAAATGCCCGTCATGGGGAAAGGACAGGGGCTCATTCTGAGCATTTCCCTCCAGGCCTGAGACTGGCAGGGATGATTCCTTTCATGGTAAATGCTAATCCTGGCTCTTGCATCTAATTTTCAGGTAGGTACAAATGAGCATTAGTTTTTGCATCTAGGGATGTGGATAATGACAACAACAGGCTTTCCCGAGGGGCCTACATACATGATTAACTCTACAGGAAAATACTTAGAAATCCATTTAAGATGGAAGATGCTTTATTAATACATTTTCCTGCCATTGCTTCATTAGTATGTCTGGGCAGGAAAATAATTCTTCGTACAGGCTCTTTGAGATGTTTGGTTGCCACCAGTCTGCATGCAGTTGATCTAAGACAATCAAACCACCTTTGTCTCTGCCCGTGAAGGGAGAGTGCTAAGCTGAGCAATCCAGCAGTTGCAGCAGAAAACCCAGCCGAGCTCAGGTAACTCACAGGGAGGACAAAGAAAAGGCACTTGCAACCTCATACCTGCTTCGTGGGCCCAGGGATCCAAACTTTATTCAAATATAGAAGTTTAGAAAGTGGTGAAAGGTCAGAGATGCCCACATAATTAACAAGACAAAATCCATTTTATTCAAACCGGCTATTGAAGTGGTTTGAAAGGATGAAGATCAAAATCATATGTCAACTCACTTCCCAGCCCTTAATCCCTAAATATAACCAACACTTAGTGGCTTATCTTATATCCTGTCTCCTGCTTCATAAAAACTGCTGGATTTATTTTATTTTTCTCAGCATATCCGAGTTAATGAAAAGGGATGACATTCAAAGCAATTTCATTATTTGTGTTCTTTATAGAAACAACTTCCTTTCTGCCTCCTTGAAAGCAGATTCCTAACGAGCGCCCACTTCCACCCTCTTTCCCACCATCTCCCTCTCCTTCCTCCCTTCCTTGCATACACATATACTGTACACATAAATCAACTTGTCACAGCTTGTCTCTGTGCTGACAGCTGTAATTGCTTCAGGTTATAAAAATATCTATAGGACAATGCCTTTCAAGTTCACAAACATGTACACACATCCACACTCCCTGAGCAAAAGGAAACAATCATATTCCCTTTAATAATCCTGGGACTGCAAAGGAGGGAGGAGGGAAGAGCCTGCCATGCCGACTCTGGACGGTTGGCAGGCAGGTGAGGAAGCAGTAGATGGAGGCTTCAGGCAACCCTGGCATCTGTACACTGAAGCAGGGCTGGAATAGAGAAGAACTCCCAATGAAGAGAAATTAGCTGTTGTTTCTGTTTTACTCCATGTTACCCAGAGCAAGCTGGGACCAGCTAAAGAGCTGTCACTATTCCACACACACAAGAGACCAAAAGACGAGCACTAGCTTAACAAATGCCAGCTCTGCTTCTCCTTGTCTAAAAAGGCTAAAGGCTCCCCTCTCCTGGTGGAGATCTCACATAGGAGTGCAGGCAAGAAGATGGGAAATGCAGGGCAGTTAGAGAGTGGTGTGACATCAAATAGATACTGGAAGATTTAATCAGAAAAGGAGGCATAAATCTGGATAAAGAGATGCCTCTAGGGCAGTAGGGAAGGGCTGGGAACTGGAAAAACATATGCTATTTTTTGCTCCTCTATGAATACAGGATCAAAATAAAATCATGGTTCATCTGGGCTATAGTCCAGCATGTTAGGATTTCAGCAGAAAGAGCAAAGGGGCAACTTGAAAAGGGGAAGAGTGCTCCAGGGAGAGAAAAGAGGTCACAAATAGAGAGAATCGAGGAGGAGGATATGAAGGAATGGCAAAGGTGAGGCTATCTATGGACTTTAAACCCATAAAACTTTATAAGAGATGCATAAAGCAGAGAGGTGGTGGGTAGAACAATCGGAGGTAGACAGAAAAGTCAGGGGGAACAGGATGAACAAGCCAAAATCAAAGTGCCGATGCAGCGAAAGGCAGGTGCCCAAAGGGGACAGCCTGAGAACCAAGGGTCTTTGGGGCAGAGTCTTTCCTTTTTATC